TTCTACAGTTTTCCTTGCATAAATCCCACCATCTATGATTTGTTGAAGAAGAGAAAAAAAATAATTAATGAGCTTCCTTAATGAGTCTAATAACATGATGTAATTAATAAATAAACATGCTACAACTCCCCTTGGAATCTCTCTCGGACGTTAGTCATATAGGGAAAGGATCGCAAGCCTCAAGCTTTCCCTAGTTTTCCTTCTCCTCGCATGGTTCACGGGTAGAGAGAGAGGAGAGAGAGAGAGAGAGAGAGAGAGAGAGTCATTATTGTAAACGTCGGTGATCGACTGTGTAATTCCTCAAGCTAATAAAATACTCTGCAACTCCGTGGACGTAGGCAATTTACAGAGCCACGTAAATATGTGTGTTTCCGTTGTTATTTTCTATTTTGCTAATTTTCTCGATCTGATTTTTCGCTTTATTACCATTATTTTTCACAACAATTTTGTGACACTTTTTTGTCTTGATTAGTTGCGACGACATAACTACAACATAAACCATCGTTTATAAATAATATTTTATTTTTCGACTGTTTTTAATTATGACCAAGAGAATAATCCATAGGATATAAACTAATATTAACCAACATTTATAGTTCGTCAGTTATTTTCGAACCAACTATCATGCAGATTTTTAACTGACGCATATTATTATTATGTGATGGAAAGGACCGTTGATAATAGTTTTAATAACCGACACAATAAAAGTCACTGATAGGCCGTCACAACTAATCAGATATCCCGTTTGAAATCACCTCCCTCTTAGTTTTGCCTTAATCTCTCATCCCGGCCCTTGTCCGAAACCATCACATGCCCCTCTCTGTTTAGTTCAAAGCCATCACCCTCGTCCACAAAACCCTCACGATATAGTAAGAATAGAAGCTAGCTGGGAACGCAATGGCAGAATCGCGACTTACAGTGACCGAAAACACCCATTTTTCTTCTCCTTCCACTTCTTTGCTACTCAAAACGACCGAGGACTATAACTTGTTATCTTCATTTTAGTATTTATTTTCATTTGCTTTGAATAATGCATTTAGGGTCAAGGGTTTAGCAACCATAAGGTTTGCCAAATATTTTTTTTATTTCAATTGGATTACATCTAAGGCTGTGAATTTAGCTCAAACATTGTTAATTGCTCGAAGATTGATTCAAATTTTAGTTCAGAAAGAGATCAGATCGAAATAAACGAGCCGGGCTGCGAGCAAAAATTTTGGATCAATTTTTTTTCAAGTCTACCCCAACTCGGCTTGAAATCAGATTATTAACAACATATGACGACAAATTTAGCGAATTTAGCTATAAGATCGTTAATCACTCAAAAATTAATTCAAATTTTGGCTCAGTTCGAGATTAGATTGAAATAAACGAACTGAGCTACGAGCCATAATTTTGGATTGAATTTTTTTTAAGTCGACCATAGCTCGGCTTGAAATCGGCCCGTTAACAACCCTAATTACATTAGGGATTGACTTTAAGCACATATGTTTTTGCTTTATTTATAGAAGCTCTTACTGGACATTTACAAGAGGATGCACCTTGGTGTATGTTTTTTGTTGATGATATCCTTCTTGTGGATATAGTTAGAGAAAGAGTTTAGGAAAAAAATAAATTATGGGGGTTGATATTAGAATCGAAAATCCTTCGTTTGAGTAGATGTAAAGCGATATACTTGAAATGTAACTTTAGTAGTGGTAACTCTAGTGATAAAATCATTTAAAATGTGTGAATGTTCTAAGTATCTTGGGTCTCTAGTTAAAATGATGGTGATATAGATATGTATGTGGCTAATTAATAGATTTCAAGTTGGTTGGTTGGAACCTATATCATCTCAGTTTGAACTCTGATCGTTTAACATTTTAGTATGTTAGTTTCCTTGTATATTATTAAATAATCGAATATTGACTCATAATTAATAAAGATGTTTCCCTATAATAGTGTATGTCACTGTAGCCGCGTCAACTCCCTTACAAATATTTTTTTTTCATATTTTGTATTCAAATGAAAATCAATCACGAACTCCATTTTGATCACTAACTTTACACTTGTAGATAAAATATGAATGCAATATACTTGTGAATGAATTTGTATAGCTAATATTTGTAGATTGTCGATCTCCGACAATCTTGACAGCCTATTGACTGTCAGCTTTTTGATTTTGAATTTAACTACTTACAACCTTGGTATTTTTAATGTGATATGAGAATTTTGGGTGATTTAAATGCAGAAAGTAAAGTTTAGATATAAGATGTATAAAATAGTAAGATTTGGGTAGTCCGTATGCAAATGCCGGAATAAAATAATAGTTGCTAATTTATCAACGCGTAGCGTATATCGCCATTCTCAGCTTGCTCCTCAACTGTTTGCGAAATTGCCTCAATTAGACAGACTGCGTAACAAAGATACATGAAGGCTCTGGGGTGGTGGCTGATGCTGGTCGGCACTCTCCGGCTCGCCTCTGTCTGGTTCGGTTTCTTCGACATCTGGGCTCTGCGCCTCGCCGTCTTCTCCAAAACCCAAAGTTCGTCCCGTTCTCTTCATCCTCTCTTCCTTCTCTTTCTTAAATGAACTTCTTCCGCACTCATCTAAGATTTCCTTAAAAAAAACATGTCTTTTATCTCTCTGCAGTCACACCTATTTCGAAACCCTAAACCCTAGAAATAAATACATCACATCAAAACCATCACTGTTTTGACTTTTACAAAATGGAATAAACCTTTTCATGCATATCTAAATGTGAATATTTCATGATCTATAAGAAGATTTATGGGGTAAGCATTACTCACAGCCTCTCCCTGTTGATCCACTTGCAGTTTGCCCATTGTTTTACAGACATGTTGGAATCATTCCTCTTGTTTGAAATGAAAGTTTCATTGGAGGTGCAGATATCTATTGTCCAGTATGGATGATTTTTGAATATCATCATCATCATCATTTGCCTTATCCAAATTATTTTGGGTCTACTTTATAAATCTTAATTCTTTGTTTGTTGACATTGAGCATCGCATTTGGTGTTAAATCTATTTTGTATAAATCCTTTTTGGGGCATTTTGCATACATACCGCACAGTTCTTATGTATTTACATATCTAACAGCAAAACATTCATATTTACATGGATGTCACTCAAGTCCTTAACATCACATAAAAAATATAACAATCACTATCTTTTTAAAATGAAATACACATTTTCATGCATGGGTTTATGAAACCTAGGTGTTTAATGTAAATATATAAAAAAAAAAAGGGTGTTAGATATGTAAATACATTGTAATTGTGTGGTATGTGTGTAAATTTCCCATCTTTTTTATAACTTATATACATTTTATTGATGAATATTCTATCTTTTGCATACACTCCCATGTCAACTTAGTAAAATTTGCCTATATAATGCTCTGCTATCAAACCAATGTTATTATTACTCTACTATTCATAATTTTGTGCTTTCATTTAATCCAAATACAAGTTTTGGAAACATAGATGAGTACTTTTGATGTAGTTTTCAACGTTGAAAATATTGACAAATTAATGGAAGATTTACATACTTGCCCCAGAGTTCTTATATTTTACATATCTAACATTTAAACTTTGATTTTTACATTAATATCATTTTACCTATGCATCAAAAGGTGTGCTCTACTTTTAAAATGTTAATTCTGGTGGCATTTTTTACGCAATAAGAAATATGTGAGGTTTGAAAAAAGGAAAATCGAAGTTTAGGTGTTAGATATGCAAATTCATAAGAATTGTCTGGTATGTATGTAAATGCCCCTAAATTATATATTTTGCTCGTCATATTTGCTATTAATTTTCTGATAGGTTTACATATATGCCATTCAACTCTTATGTATTTCATATCTAACCCCTAAACTATACATATAAATATACACCACACTTCCTAGGCTTAAAAAGGTGCATTTAATTTTTTAAAAGTTAAATTAGTGATATTTTTTATTTGATGTGAAAGAGTTGCATGGTATAAATGTAAAAAAATAAAGTTCGGGTGTTAGATATATAATTGTTGAAATGCTCCTAATTTTTTTTTGGGAACATTTTCTTTATTTTTTTTTTTTCTTACAACTAATAACTTGATTCTATGAATGGTGTTACTTGTAGTGACTGATGTTCATGGGAGGACTTTTGGTGTTTGGACGCTGTTAACATGTACTCTGTGTTTCCTTTGTGCGTTCAACCTCGACAACAAGCCTATTTATGTCGCAACATTTTTGTCATTCATCTATGCTTTTGGTCATTTCCTAACTGAATATTTGATATACCATACAATGGCTCTGAGCAACTTAACAACTGTGGGCATCTTTGCAGGTAAGATTGATAATTGGTTCCGTTTCTTTGTGGCATTTACATAAATACCACCCAATTCATATATATTTATATATGTATATAACATCTAAACTTTACTTTTCTATGTTTATAATATCAGGTGCTTTCATGTAATATCAAAAATACGACCATTTTAACTTTTAATAAGTGAAATATATCTTTTCATGCACAGATAAGTGGAATGTACGTAAAAGTTTAACTGCTAGATATGTAAATACATAGGAATTGAGTGGTACGTTTGTAAATCATCCTTTTTTTTTCGTAGTTTAGCAAGAATGGTATATGTTCTGTCTTTGTTGATATTGCTCAAAATACATGACTGAAGTAGGTATGCCTGCTTTGTTTTGCATATTAGCCCGCATACTACTTTTGACATTATCTTTTCATTAATAAGAGATAGAAATTCTTCCCAAATACTTTATTAAGTGAGGTTGAGGCTCAAGGATATTTCATATCTAACCCCTAAACTATACATATAAATATACACCACACTTCCTAGGCTTAAAAAGGTGCATTTAATTTTTTAAAAGTTAAATTAGTGATATTTTTTATT